GCAGTATGAGACCCCAAGGCCACATGCAGCCTACAACCTCCTTTTTGCAGGCCCAGAAGATACTTGTAACCAAAGTTGTTGAAAAATAATGGTATAGTTTCCTGCCATTCTGAGGAGGGAGCCACTCAGAAACTCTGATGTCAGTCCTGGAATTGGCTTAATATAGTTCAAGAAATAAAGAGGAACTTCAAAACTCCTCTCACAAACTGCCATAAAATCTTATTTCCACCCACTTGACATCATCAAACCACCCACTGTGCCCTCCAGCCACACAAAGATGTTAAATATGGCTCTTTGTCATCAAAAGCTGGCCCAGCCCTGCACTTCAGATGGAATTATATGGATGCTGCTGCCAATATCTGCCCCGCTACCATAGGCAAGGAACAGATCCACCACCAATTTCTGGATCAAAAGTCAGCAGATGGAAACAGCCCTATAAATAGATTCCTGTCCTTGCATTTGGGAGCTGCTCTCTATAGGTGGTCTTCCGGGTATAGAATTTTTAATGTTCTCATACAATGAATTATCTTATATGAAAATCTATTACATAGTTTTGAAGAAATCAATTTGGGACATTAAACCTGGGTAGCAATATGCGAATGGATTTTGTGTCCGAAGTAAGGAGAAAATATTAGAAAAAATTAGTACCAGAAGGCTTTGGGGAAAAATATTTTTCTGATTTTTTTTCTTGGACTTTCACATCTTTGTGTATCAGGCATGTACTGAGTTGAAGGCTGGACTAATTAATACAGTATTTTTATAGGCTAGTAAACTTTTTGATTTATTTTCCATGTTGGAGAAAGTTCACTTCTCCAAAAAGCATGGGTTTCCAAAATATATTTTCTGATTGTCTGTAGGGGTGTTGTTATTTATTTATTTACTTACTTATTTATTTACTTACTTACTTACATAGGTACAATGAAGGGATTCTATTATAAGGGTTTAACAATGATGTAGCAGAATGTGATTTAATATTTAATGCAGCTGTTCTGCATTAAAATAAAAATGTGAATATTTGGGTATATATGATGTGTGCATATTGGTTGGTGGTTTTCAAATTCATAAAGGGTTTCTAATTGGGCCCCCAGCTCTATAGGGTAGGGAAATATGATGGTGTGTGCAGTTTTGTTTACTGTGTGTTCACTTATCTGTGGCAAAGCAGATGTTGCCTTGTAAATGACTTTTAAGTTAAAACTGAGCAAGCTAAAATGAGCCATCCTAGATACCTAAGTGTGCAGTTAACAAATTTTAGTTAATTGGGACTATAATTCACACTGAGGCAGCTTGAAGGCTCAGCAACATTGGTGTCATCCACTGATTCTCATGAGGGCAAGGGACTGTCAAGTGGCTCTTATTTCCACCATTCTCCACCTGCAAGTAGCAATGGAGATATTAACTGAATTCTTGCTTGGTACATTGCAGTTCCTTCTGTTTACTTTTCTGTTTGGATTCTTAAGTGCCTTGAAATGAACTGAGATGCATAAAAAGGGGGGGAAAGCCTCTCTAGTACCTCTTCACTTTGAGATAGAAGAGGTTAAACAATCTGAGGCCAAACGGAAAGCTTCTGTGCCCAGTATTTAGCTCAGAAGGCAAGTTCCCCCACAAAAACAATCCCATGGAGTAGAGAGTAGCTGGGTAGCTGGCGTAATGTCACTCAGTGAGCTTCCATGGCTGAGGTTGGACTTGAAGCAGCATGTTCCTAGGCCTACACCACCATTCATCTTGCTTGCATGAGTAAGATGCAAGGAGCAGTAACCCTCGTATTTTGCTCCAACCCCAAATTTGCACCCTCCCTCTCATCCCCACTGTGTTGTTCTCCATAACCTCTGAAGTGTGGTGGAGGGAGGCAAACAAAAGTCCATTGTGTCAGAGGAATGTCATCAAGAAGTCTCAAGGCTGAGAATCCTGCACTGGGAAATTGAAGAAGGCCATATCCCTGGTCATTGGCTACGATTGGTATTGGAGTTATAGCTATATCTGGATGACTATAAGGCAGGCTGCTTGGAGTCATCAAGTCCAGGCAGCTCTTTCAACTTTTAAGCAAAATGCGTTTGCAAAAGGTGTCATGGCCGAGCTTTCATTAACATCATGGTCAGTGATATCAAAGCCACCTAGATAATCATTCAGGATGGTCCATCCATCAAGATAACCATGGTTTTTCCAGTGTCAGCGTCAGACCTGAAATTGCATTAGGTATAGAACCAGATAAGCTCAGCTTGATTGTACATTTTGCCGAGGAAGACTACTGGACAATAGATGGTTCATCCTGATATCTTCAAGTAAAGTTTCTTAAGGCAGGTAGGACAGCATCTCTTTCAAGGCAGCTGAAATAATCTCTTATTGGGGCCACCTCATCACTCTCTTTCTTGTTAGACACGTGAACTAAGACGTAAGGATTTGAGCAAAGGTGATCTAATACAGGTCCTAAACTTAAATAGTAAATTGGAACTAAAATTTGGTGTGTGTGTGTGTGTGTGTTTAAAAAATTGAGAATGGAAACGTAAGGCCTTTAAAAGCATTTAAGGATTTTTAACGCGCCAGTTAATATATAACAATATTTCCGATTGGATTAAAGAAACATTCAGTGATTTTTAGAGCACTTCCTTAAGCCTTAGTGTTTGGCATACTTAATTATTGCTCCAGTATTCTTTCTCGTGTTGATACAGTGCAACTACTGAGGGAAAATTTCTGTTTTGTCATGAAATAGGTATGAAGGGCCAACTAGCAGATTTCAGCCTAAGTTCCCTTGCAGGATAGATAGTGAGATCATAAGCCATATGGTAGCTTACTTCCGAAATCCATAGCTTACTGTGTAATGTTCCAGTTGCATGTACAGATGGTTTGTCTATAATCCACTATTGGTATTCATCAATTCTCCCAGACATACGCTACCCCTATGGTTCTTCATCTAATATCTGTTCGATCATGTGCAATATCACCAGGTGCTTAGAACTTCCGTATAATAAATAGTTAACTTGGTATGTTACAGGCTGACATACACGTCTAAATCATATTTTTCCACCTTCCTCCCATTTAAAATCTCCATGGTGTAGCGCACCAAACTTGAACTGTATGAAAAATAGTAGGTGCGCTAAATGCCAGAAAGACCTCTGTCATTTTGCAGACGGTGAGATTGGGGAAGGAGAGGAAATGACTTAGCCTTTATTTGCATCCTTATTTCATATGCTGGTTTCACATCCTAGTATGTGGCCAAACGTTGATGGTGTTGGCATGAAGACATTCTGCTTAAGCTTGGTAATTGCACGATTAGATTTTATCAGAATGCATTGCGAATAAGCATTTTGCTGGCTGATAAACACTATAACGTATCCATCCCTCCACAGCCAAATTAGTGTTCTTTTGAGAAAAGAAATCTCCAAAAATCCAATCTCTTTTTTTAATATTTTGACTGTATGTATGATTATGTGGAATTTTGATAGCTATATAAAGAATGTGCTAATATTTGATACCTAGAATTTGCTGTTAGCTTCTGCTAGACTCCAGTGTATTCATTAAATGTGCTTGGGTGTGGCTAAAATATATATTCTGTTGGGGGGGGGGGAATGAAGGGTTAGCTGAAAACTGACTAGACGTGGTTTCATTTCCTCTTCTTTTTATATTTTTAGATTGGGAACAAAAACAGAGCAGCACTGGCTGAAGGTGAGAATGTTGTTTTATTATAGATGCCTGTTGCACCCGTGCACGAGCACATTGGTTCTTCATTTCATTTTTCCAATGAGCCTTATTACCTAAACCAGTGTTGTCCAAACTTGGCCACTTTAAGATGAGTGGACTTCAACTCCCAG